ATGTGTGTGTGTGTGTGTGTGTGTGTTTGTGTGTGGAAATGAGGGGAAATTAGGGTTTGTCGTGTGCATTGGGCCTTAAAATATGTCTTTCATTTTCTAATGCTTGGGCTTGCAAAATCCAAACTATGTAATCGTGCTAAATAATAACCGAACATTGGACTTAGATTAAAATAAATCATTCGGGTACATTAACAATATAACAAGACCTAGACTAAATTAATTTAGTCGGTCGACTTTACTAAAATAAATGGGCTCGAATTTAAAAATCGAACAGGGGCTCGATTTTAATAATGGACTAAATTAAAATTGAACATGAGCTTAATTAAATGAAATGGGCTGGAATAAAATTGAACATAGGTTCGATTAACTGAAATGAACCGACTAAAATAGTTGAACTCGCTCGAAAATTATTAGGCTCGAATAGTTTACGCATTCGGGCTTCAGTCCGCTTTAATAATATTCCGATTATTCCAAGGCTCGATTTTAAAAATAGAACCGATACTTGAGCTAAATAAATATGATTTGAATAAACAAAAATCGAATAAATTCTTCATGGCTTAGACTTTAAACTAATTACTCGATTTAATGTAAATAATAATAAATGCATCAAATAAGGAAACTGACTATTTATAGAAATAAAGTCGAGCTCAATAAATAGCAAATAATATTTTGGGTGTAACATTAGATGTAGTGTTTTTTGTTTATACTACTATTATTTTTTCAGTATTATTTGGAATATACTGCATGCATAATATTGACCACTGTGAGCTTGTTGTTTGCTCACCTCCATACATTATCTTCTTCAGGTTAGACGGCTTGTTGTGATGACGATGGGGTAAGTATGGTCCTATTTTGGAGTTCATTAATATTTTGCTTCCACATGTTTTTCGAACTATGTTTACTCCATTTTTGCAAAGCGTTTTACAGCCTGGTGTGAGTTGAGCTAGGATTTTTTAGTAATGCTCGGAAAATGTTTATTTTGAAAAATAATTTTCAAAAATTCAAACTTTTTCAGAAAATATGGAGTTTTTTTCTTTAAAAAATAATAGGGCGTTACACCTTTGTTGTAAGACTGTCTCTATCTCTTTTCGTTACTTAAGGAGCTGGCACATCTTCAGGTTAGCGTTGTCGCTTTCTTTTGGCTCTGGCTATCGGACATTGTTCCCTTTGAGTAATAAATTCTGTCGTTCGAAAAAAAAAATTTAGTATCATCCTAAGGCCTCTACTTTCTCTCTAATAATAATAATAATAATAATAATAATAATAATAATAATAATAATAATAATAATAATAATAATAATAATAGAATATATGACGTCAAAATGAAAATCTCTTGGCTCCCCTTCCCAAGCCTTCTATATAAATGAGGGTCCGCTTGCTCCAAATTCTTCAACACATGTACCAAACTTCCTTTATGGAGTCAAGTGCCTCAACCCTCATTCTATCTTCCCTCCTACACCTTAAGCAACCCAACTTGCCCACACAATTCGTGTGGCCTCCCGAGGACTTAGCCCATACTGCACAAGCCCACGAACTCAAAGATCCGCCCATCGACCTCACCGGCATCTTAAACGGTGATCCAGAGTCAACCCACTCGGCCGCAGCCCAAATCCGGACCGCCTGCTTAAACCATGGCTTCTTCCAAATCGTCAACCATGGTGTGGACCCCACCCTGGTCCGTGCAGCCCAAGACCAAATGGACATCTTCTTCAGCCTTCCCCTCGCCCGAAAGCTCGCCGTTAAACGAAAACAGGGCGAGCTCTGCGGCTACTCGGGGGCCCACACAGATAGGTTCTCGTCGAGACTACCGTGGAAGGAGACTTTCTCCTTCACTTACGATTACGAAAACGGCAATGTGGCCGACCAGATAAAATCTCTCCTTGGCCAAGATTTTGAGGAAGCAGGGTAAGATTTAATAATTACAACATGTATAAATTATTATTCATATTATCTTTAATTCCATTTGGTAACGTGCAACTATTATGCAAAAAGGTTTATTTATGAGAGATATTGCGAGGCAATGAAGAAACTATCCCTGGCAATATTTGAGCTGCTGGCAATTAGCTTGGGAGTCGAGCGAGGGTATTTTCGGGAGTTCTTCAAAGACGGGAGCTCGATAGTGAGGGGAAACCATTATCCGCCGTGCATAGAAGCCGGACTTACGCTCGGCACGGGACCTCATTGCGATCCCAACTCGTTGACGATTCTCCAGCAAGATCAAGTCGGAGGTCTTCAAATCTTTATTAACGGAAAATGGCAAGCCATTAAACCTTGCCCTGGCGCCTTTGTCATTAACATCGGGGACACATTCACGGTATATTTCACACCTTTAATTACTTACATCTCAAATACTAGATTTATTAAGAAACAGTTGCACTTTATTAGTAAGCTTTCATTTATTTATTTATTCTAATAAAAAATCCATTTTATGTATACTAATAGCAATATTAATTACGATTACGATATTTGTTTCGAAAAAAGAATAGCAATATTAATTACGATTATGACATGAATTATGCCTACGTAGGTGACTATTATTTGGAGTTGTCTGTGTGTGCGCATGGTAAAAATCCAATTTTAGTCCGCTAATTTGTCTATTTTCTATTTTTGGTATACTATCTTTCACCTCATAAAAAATGATCCATTATGTTACACTTTTCATCAGTTTTAGTACACTAATCCCGTGGCCCGGGATTACGAAATGCCAAATCAGGTTTTTATCCTACCACGTCAATATCTTATCCATTCAAGTAGTTCAAATCCCAGTCCACATTATCTCGTAATCCCGCCAACTGGAGCAGTGTACTAAAACTGATGAAAAATGTAACATAATGAACTATTGTTTATGATGGATAAGTCAATAGACCAAAAATGAACAATGAACAAGTTAAGTGACAAAATTGAATTTTTGCCATGAGTGCATATATGTAGATTTGGTGTATAATAAAATATTATTCTTGCATATGGATTTGAAAGGATGCGGTGGCCTGCTACCTGGCCTAATAAGGATAAAACTGTCAAGTGATTTTTTATGATTCGAGTTCAGCTAAAGACAAGGACTATGGGACCATTTCTTTGGTTATATGCTAACTGCTAATATAGTAGTATATCAAACCGTGGTAAATTTGGTTTTTACAACTTGTACCCCGTCCGTCCCCTCCCTCTTGTTTGTTTGTTTGTTTATATGTGAGTTTTATCTTTTGTATTTATCGAGGCATTGAGTAAATTAAGTAAATTTTAACTTTTGGATGGAGACAAACGTCATGTATTTTCACAGAAGATGACAATATGACATACGAATTAAAACGAGAAAGTAAACAACACAAGATTTACGTGGTTTGGCAATGTACCTACATCCACGGCGGCTGATGGATCTTTAATATTCTCAATAGTCTCAAACACATCAATACACCATGTATTTATACTATAACCCTACAAGGTTAAATTTACTTGAAGATCCCGTACCGTACCGCGGGGGCCCCGCCCCCGCACCCCCGGCTCATACGCTTCCCTCACTACGTTCGATCTGTTACGCTCGCAGGCATCACCCTGCCTCTTTCCTTTGTCAATATATGAGCCATATCAACAAATCTCCACCTCTTTTGGAGAACACAATAGCGAGCGCCTCTGTGAGACTCACCAAGCAGGCCGGGGGTACCATGCAACTCTAGCATGCATAAACATTCAACAAATCCAAGCAATGCTTGAATTTGTAAAAAATAACAGTCTTAGTTAACATATCAGCAGCATTCTCTTCAGTATGAACTTTCTCCAACTGAATATCACCAGAAGCAATCCATTCCCTAATCTTATGGAACCTAACATCAATATGCTTCGTCCTAGCATGATATATCTGATTCTTAGCCAAATGAATGGCACTCTGACTGTCACAATTACTAGAACTCCACCTTGCTGAATACCCAACTCTCTAACTAATCCAGCAAGCCACACTGCTTCCTTTGCCGCTTCAGCCAAAGCAATATACTCAACTTCAGTTGTAGATAGAGCAACTATAGGTTGAGTATTCGACCTCCAACAAATAGGCCCTCCACCAAAAGTGAAGACATACCTAGTAGATCTCATATTTATCAACTCTCCAGCATAATCAGAATCCACATATCCTACAACCAAAGGATCCAACCGTTGATCTTCAAACACAATACCATGTCCCGCAGTACCTTTCAAATATCTGAAAATCCATTTGACTGCCTCCCAATGCTGTTTACCCGGCCTAGACATATACTTGCAAACTTGACCAACAGCATGACCTAAATCAGGACGAGTATATACCATGGCATACATCAGACATCCAACAACACTGGCATAAGGTATCTCCACCATGTCATGAGTCTCCTTGTCCGACTTGGGGCACATATCAACAGAAAGCTTGAAGTGGTTTGCTAATTGAGTGCCCACCAGTTTTGCTTCATTCATCCCAAACCTCTCCAGCACCTTCTCTACATAACTCTTCTGAGATAACCACAGCTTATTTGATTTTCAATCCCTGCGAATCTCCATCCCAAGAATTTTCTTCGCAGCCCCCAAATCCTTCATCTCAAATTCTTGACTCAAAAGGTCTTTTAGATCAACAATATCACGAGTATTCTTAGCAGCAATAAGCATGTCATCAACATAAAGTAACAGAAAAATAATAGAACCATCACCAAGGCTCTTAGTGTAAACACAACTATCGAACTCACAACGCTTGTAGCCAATCTTCAGCATATACAAATCAAACCGTATATTCCACTGGATGCTTGCTTCAAGCCGTACAAGGATTTCTTCAACCTGCAAAATAAATGCTTCTTCCCTGGTTGAACGAAGCCCTCTGGCTGCTGCATGTTAATAGGCTCTGCGAGATCACCATGCAAGAAAGCAGTCTTCACATCCATCTGCTCCAAATGCAAATCCCAACTAGCCACCAATGCAAGTACAACCCTGATCGAAGTATGTCTAACCACAGGAGAAAATGTCTCATCATAGTCAATCCTCTTTTGCTGTGAGTATCCTTTAGCCACCAATCGAGCCTTGAACCTTTCCCCTCCTTTTTCTGTTAACGATGACTTCCTTGTGTAAATCCACCTACAACCAATAGCTTTCTTCCCTTCGGGAAGAACATCCAACTCCCACGTCTGATTCTTGTGTACAGAATTCATATCTTCTTCCATGGAAGCCTTCCATCTATCATTATTCTCACAAGAAACGGCCTCCTGGAAAGTACAAGATCCACACTAGTGATCGTAAGAGAAAATGAGACCATATCTTCATAACCAAACCTGACTGGAGCTTGTATATTGGTACGCTTCAATCTATCCCGAGCTAACTTGTAGCTCTCTGGCACATCAGTTGGGCCAAAAACATCATGATCAACATTATCAGGTGCATAACTCGAACTCTCTCCCTTATCAAGAACTGCTGGAACATGTTCCAACTCCAACTGTACCTTATCTGCATCTGATCTCAACATAGACTGTTCATCAAACACTGCATCTCTACTAACCACCGTCTTCTTCTCAACTGGATCCCAAAACTTGTATCCCTTCACACCTTTCTTATAGCCCAGAAAAGTGCATTTCCTTGATTTAGCATCAAGTTTTGACCTCTCATCAGCAGGAATATGAACATAAGCAGGATAACAAAAAATCTTCAGATGATCAAAACTAACATCATTACCTGTCCATACTTCTTCTGCAACTTTTCCATCCAGAGATGCACGTGGTGATCTGTTAATCAAATAACAAGCCATACTTACAGCCTCAGCCCAGAAACTCTTTGGCAAACCCGCATTTAGTCTTAAACACCTCGCCCTCTCAGCCAGTGTCCGATTCATCCTCTCAGAAACACCATTCTGCTGTGGTGTTTTACGCACTGTAAAATGCCTTTGAATCCCATGCTCCTCACAAAACTTTTGAAACTGTGAATCGGTATCCTCTGTACCATTATCAGACCTTAAGTACTTGATAATCCTACCAGTCTGGTTCTCCACCTCAGCCTTCCATAGCTTGAATTTTAGCAAAAAATTCAGATTTATGCTTCATAAAATACACCCAAACTTTCTTCAAAAAATCATCAATAAAGGTCACATAGCACACAGAACCACCCACCGATGTCACTCTAGTAGGACCCCACACATCTGAATGTACATAATCCAGAATTCCTTTTGTCTTCTTCTTCCTAGTCTTGAAACTGACTTTTGTCTGCTTTCCCAGAACACAAAACTTGCAGAAATTGAGATTGCAAGTTTTAACACCATGCAAAAGCCTTTTTTTGTGCAGTTCAGTCATGCCATGTTCACTAAGATGTCCAAGACGCATGTGCCACAATTTCGTGCTATCTTCACATGACTCCACCGAATGGACTCCACCTACAACTGTACTTCCCAACAGTTTGTAAATGTTCCCTACAGTGATCCTCCCATTCATCACAGTCAAGGCACCCTTCACAATCTTAATGGTTTCCCTATCCTCATCAGCCTTGGGAATGAAATCATCTCTATGCAATGTACCCAAAGAAATCAAATTCTTCTTCAACTCAGGGATATGTCTCACATCACATAATGTCCTAACAGTTCCATCATACATCTTGATTTTGACATCCCCATCACCGACAATACCGCAACATTTATCATCACCAAGAAAAACAGAACCCAAGTTACCTGGTTTATAAGTAGCAAACCACTCTTTGTTAGGCGTTATTTGATATGAACATCCAGAATCGAGAATCCAAGCATCATCATACTGCACAGTCGAAATAGATAACATATCTCCATCACTGCAATCAGATTCCTCATTTTGTACCACATTCGCAGACTTGGATGACATATCAACAGTCTGTTTCTTCCACTTTGGGCAATCCCGTTTGAAGTGCCCCTGTTCCTGGCACTTATAACACGTCACAGTTTTCCTCCCTTGCGATTTGTCTCGCGACTTGGATCTGAAATTCTGATGTCCTTAATTATCTCGCCCTTGTCTTCTTCCACGATCTTGGTTACCCTTCACATATAAGCTGTCACTTTGAGAAGATGACTCTCCAAATTTCTGTAACGCTGAAGTAATCTTTACAGTCTTGATCGTTTGTTTCCCATATATAAGGGTAGTCACCATATGTTCGTAAGAAAGAGGTAATGAACACGGTAAAATCATCGCCTTGTTCTTCAATCTTGACTTCGAGTGAAGCCAAATCCGTGACAACCTGATTGAAGATATGTACATGTTGCCCTAAATCGGTCCCCTCCTGCATCTTCAGCCCGTATAACCTCTGCTTTAGATACAGTTTTGTCGTTAGGGTTTTCGACATGAACTGCGATTCCAGTTTCTTCCAGATCTCATCCGCCGATTTGAGATGCATAACGTGATACATAACTTCATCTGCAAGGCACAACCGAATCGTCCCGGCCGCCCGTTCCTGCAGATCTTGCCAATCATCGTCTTCAATCCCGTTAGGTTTAAATCGCGCAACCCTTTTTGAATTCCTGGCTGCGCCAATAAATCTTTTACTCTCGTCTGCCATAATCCAAAATTGCCATGACCATCAAATTTCGAGACCTCGAATTTCGATCCTTCCGTCATCTCTGTCGCTCAATCGACCAGGCTCTGGTACCACTTGTTGAGAAAAGATGACAATATGGCATATGAATTAAAAACGAGAAAGTAAACAACACAAGATTTACGTGGTTTGGCAATGTGTCTACGTCCACAGCGGCTGAGGGATCTTTATTATTCTCAATAGTCTCAAATAAATCAATACACCATGTATTTATACTATAACCCTACAAGGTATAAATTTACTTAAATACCCTGTATCGTAACGCGGGGCCCCCGCCCCCGCACCCCGGCCCATACCGCTTCCCTCGCTACAGTTCGGTCGCTCCGCTTCCCTCGCTATGTTCGCTCCGTTACGCTCGCAGGCATCAGGCTGCCTCATTCATTTGTCAATATATGAGCCATATCAACAAGGTAGAAAAAGACAAGATAAATTTTTGATTAAAATTAATTGCTTCGTTTATTTGGAATTGCAGTTATTTTTTAGAGTAATGCTACATAACCAACCTAGTGTATACCTAGGTTGACAACACAATTGTAAACATTCATAAAATTAAAATAAAAAAATAAACAAGTGGATGTTTACACTTGTGTTGTCAACCTGGTTGTACACTAGGTAGGCAAAGTAGCATTTTTCTATTTTTTATTAGGGAAAAAATTACTCCCCGGTTTCAAATGCTAAGGTCCCGTTATCGAATCACTCTGTCGGGGTTTGTGATATTAGATCATCATGTAAGCATTGAAGATAGTTGATCTTATAATTACAAACCTCAACGAAATAGTTCCGTAAAGAAACTGTCGCATACCCAATTTTGATCTGGGATATTTTAAATTTCAAAATAAAGGTTAATGTCTGGGCATACACATATGCATGCAGGCGTTATCGAACGGGAAATACAAGAGTTGCCTCCACAGGGCAGTGGTGAACAAGGAGAGAGCGAGGAAATCATTAGTGTTCTTTGTGAACCCAAAAGACGACAAAATGGTGAGGCCCCCGAAAGATATAATAAAATTATCGACAAGAGAGTACCCGGATTTCACATGGTCGGATTTGAGGAAATTCACGGTGAACCACTACAGGGCTGACGGGACTACGCTCCAAAACTTCGTCACTTGGCTTTCAGACCAAAAAAAGACAATCAACTTACCTTAAATTATTATATATTCAATATGCTTATGGTCTATCATCACTTGTGATTGTTTGGCCTCCGTTATCATTTTGCTTTATTAAGTAGTAGCTTACACGTATGTATGTGAGAGGTAGCCAGGGAGGATTATTCTCGATCAGGTTTACTTTTGTTTTATCTGCGTTTTGTTTTTTTCTTTCGACTCTCTCTCTCTCTCTCTCTCTCTTGTGCTGTTATGTGATTTATTATAAGGAAATATCAATTTCCTACATGATGGTCAATATATTGCTGGAAAAAATTGAATGAATTTGTAACATAAAGATTAAAGTTTTGGAACCTTTAAACATGTAACTTGTTTTCATGCTACAAAAGTTTTATTAAGTTTTGAATTTAATAAGCTAATTAATTAATATTGCTTATGATCGGTCGTCTATAAAGGCTATTTTGGTACACAAATAAGTTAGCTTATAGCTTATTTGATTAGCTTATAAACTCTCTGTATTCAAATAAGACTTGTTTGGTAGGACAAACTTTTTTAAATAGCTCGAGCTTATTTGATAAGCTTCTTTAGGTAGCTTTTCATATAAGCCAGTTGAATTTTTTATTTCAGCTACCTTATCAACTAATATTATCAAACACTTTTATCATATAAACTAGTTTTCAGCTATGCGCCATAAGCTATAAGCTCAAAAAATACTGATAAGCTATAAGCTAGCTTATCAGCTAATTTTACCAAATGTTTTAAATATTTGTACTGGAGTAGAATCGGAAGATTCGAACACTAGGTTGTATCTCAAGGAAGGTCAGCCGGAATAAATTGCACGACTATTCAAACACACGAAATAAGAAACGAGACCTAAACACTCTAATTCAAATTGATGATTTTTTATTATCAACTACGAATTCTAAATAAATAGAAAAGCAAACGAACTGTCAGTTCCAAACGAAATTCAAATGTTGTTGAGGAAGTTAGGGAATCGGAGATACTCGTGTATGGTTCTAACATAATTAATAAGTGCTTATCGCTCGGTTAAGAAATCAAATAACTTACTCGTTTAGAGGTTTGTTCTCAATAACTGTTCGTAACAAGAGAGCAAACATAAACAAATAATTATCTAAACAATCAACACATAGGCAATACATTAACGAACAAGCTTATCCTAGACGAGCCATGATCAACCAATTTCTCCCCTTCCGGTTCTACAAATTGATAAATTAGATTAGAATGATGATCAAGCATCTAACCCTAGATTAAGAACAACTCGAATAGATTGAACGGTAAGCAAGCATTCAGGAATCACAATCGAACTGACACGAATATCTCCTATCCCCAATAGACGGTTTAGCTACTCATAGTAATTTGAACACAAGAACTCATAACAACTGAAGCACAAACATCATAACAAAATCCGAAAAAGTGCTTACGATTAATTAAGAGATCCAAATGTCGAAAGCGATGAGCAATCCAAATCCAAAAGCAAAATCTTGATGTTTTTCACCTTACAAGATTTAATCTACGCTAAAGAGAAGAAAGAAGAGAGAAAAGTTGTTGTTCGTCCAGAGAGAAATTCGAAACTACAAAGTACGGAATGGAATTTTCTCCCTAGCATCGATAACTCTTTTATTCACGATCGAAAAATCTCGTAAAATAACGACTTCCAGAATTTTGGCTACTCGGCGCCGCGGCGCGAGGCCTGCCGCGGCGCGGCAGAGGGAGTCTCCGCTTGATCACGGCGTGGCAAGAGGATTCGCCGCGGCGCGATGCCTAGAGACCCGTGGAGCTTCTGTCGATAACGTGGTGCTGGCGCGGCGCGGTGCTGTGTTGTTCCTCCGCGGCGCGACACTGGAAAACCATCCTCTGTCCAAGACATGGGGTTAGCGCGGCGCGGGGCTTCCTTCTTATCGCGGCGCAGAGCTTTCTTCTTATCGCGGCGGAGCCTGGAAACTCGATGCACTCGGGCCAATTCGTGTCGTGGGTCGGGATGCAGCTGCTCGGGTCCTTCTTTCTCTAAGCACGTACTGGATAATTTGAACCTACACACCACCGAAGACGAGAACAACACGCAAAAATATGCAAAACAACAGAAAATATCAAAAACGACAAATAAACGACACACACGCGAACCGAACGACTGGTGGACCAAAATAAGTAAAAAGATTCCTAACTCGGGGGTAAAAACTAGCAAATAAGCAAAGAAAAAGATAACAAAAATAGGACAAACAACTCTCCCACACTAAAACTTTTGTTCGTCCCGAACAAAAGGAAAAGAAAGGGAAACAAACAAACGAGCGAGGACAACGGTTCAAGCAAGACTAACCTCAAACCAATCAACCAAGTTAAGAAGAATTCAAATAATCACGAGAACACACCTCAACTATTAACTCGATTATTTCGAATGACAAAGACTCTCGAATACGAAGATGTATTATATGCCTCACTCAGTTTCTTTTGCAAATATAAGATAGGTGCACTCTAGTTGGTCGTCAACCAATTCAATCATAAGTTTTCCTATTGTCTATCTTTTACTCTGAAACAATCAAATATGTGAAACAATGAATCAAGAGGACTTCGAGGGATGTAATATAAGCTCTTTGGATCGGGTAGGAAAAATATAGGCTAGGTGGCTCAATAATAATCAACTCAACTCAATTTAATCATCTTCCCGTTATCATGAACTCTTCCGGCTGTCAACATCAACCGGTTCTTTCTTACTACTCCAAATTCAACACCTCACCCAACAATTATTCAATATATATATATTTTTTTTTCTTTTTATTTATTTATTTATTTATTTATTTATTTTGCGAGAACCTCTGGACATCTTATCTAGGTTTAACCATCGGGTTGTCTGCCCGAGTCTCCTAGACCGGTTTCCCGTACTCATGGCTCGCATCCACTACATTAGTGAACGGAGCGCTAGGAGTATAATCCATTCGGTTCCCCCCCCCCCTTTTTTTAATGAGAGGGAAATATTTACACCTCAGGCAACCATCACCTCCAACTCTAACTCGCAACTCAATGTCATCATCACGAGGTTAACAACAAAATCAATTAAGGCACAAAGGGGGTGACTAGTGATTGTCTTTTATTCGGAAAAATAAAAGGGAAAGAAAATACAAGGAACGCCTCAATCATTTTCACGTTTCACAAATTCAATCACTTCATTTCAAAGTAGACTCAAGACAAATTCTAACTGAATAAATTTCTCACAAGAAACGAATATGGTGCTCACAAGGTAAATAATGTCATCCAAAATGACCAAGCAAGATAGTCAAAATATGCCACTCATTCTCATCATCACAACTTCTTAACTCAATCGATCAATCATTAACTAGTCTTACAATACACCAAAGTCCAAGCTCAAAAAGACATGCAAATAATCCTAAAAACTAGACCGGCCCACCAAGCAAGAGAAAAGAAATAAAAGCAATCCTAAAAAGAAAACGAAAACAAGACCTGGTCAACCATGTAGCCACATAAGCATGCAAAAACTCCCCCACACTTAAAATCAGACAATGACCCCATTGTCGATCGTCAGTAAGGGAAAGTTGTACCACATAATCAACTGACTCAAAACGAAATAACTGTACAAAATAAAAGAGAGAGAGAAAAAGAAAACGTACAAAGCACAGTAATAAGTCACTGTGCATCCAGTGGTGGCAGAGGAGGTAAAGAAGACGGGCCAGCTCCCAAACCCCCACGAGTGGCCCACTGATGAAAATGGTCGTCCCCTTCGCTCCACTTAGCGAACTTCTTCTCTTCCCATTGGTCTCAGTGTTTGTCATTTTGAGTAATGTAGGCCTCCACTCTCGCATTGTGCGCCTCTTGTCGGGCCTGTTACTCAGCTTGTTGTTTTTGGTACTGAACGAACCACGCAGGGGCTTGCTGATAATCCATCTGGGCGGGCTCTTCCTCGTCACCCGAGGCATGGTCGACCGGCTCCTCATGCTCGTCTGCCACTTGTTGAGAAGGGCCCCCTATGGCTTGTTTCGATAAAGCTGCTTCCTGTGCCAATCGCTTCACCTCCTTCATGTAAGTGTCATAGCATTTACGTTCGGTATAGTGCGTGATTTGAGACCTCTTGTCCAGAAAACCCCCAGCCCTGAGTTCGACGAAACTGATGGCCAAAGTAGAGAAGCTAAATGTATTTCAGCTTGTGTTCATAAGAGCTTGTTTGAGGAATGGAAGAAGACACACCGGTTTCTTGTTGCACATGTTCCACAGCACGAACACCTCCTGTTCGCTCACTTTAATCGCTTCCTTCTTCCCAAAGATGTTGTAAGAAAGGAACTTATGCACAACCGCGATGGGAAATTCCTTGATTAGACCAGCCGATGGTCCCTTCCCGTTGAAAGTTTTGCAAGGTGATAAGTCGGCCCAATGCTTGTCGGCCTGGGTCTTTCCGGGTTTCTAGAGAGCTCTCGTTACTTTTATACCATATATCTGGCTAAGCACCTTATCCGTAATCTTGACCTCTTGCCCATTCAAACGACAAGTGAGGTAATTGCCGTTATCATGCATCTCAATCGTGCTGAAACACTCGAGGGTGAGAGTCCGAAAGGAAGTGAGATTCTGGAGTTCCGCATATTTCTCCAAGTGCAGGGCTTTCAAGTATTTCTGAACGTCTTCTTCGATGTTAAGGGTATTCAGAAATTTCTAGTCGAGAACTCGGGGATGCGGTATAGTTCGTACGGTAAGTCGCTTGTACGCGGCCACCTCTGAGTCGTTGAAAACTGGGAACGGAATACCATGGATTTGGGCCAGAGTATGAGTCTCATTTCCCGCAGTAGAGTCCGAGTGGTGTGAGCTAGAGTCCGAGTTAGAATCAGAGCTGTCCGAGGACTCGGGTGGAGTAGCCATGACGGCCTTGCCTTTGCTTTTGCTCTTAGAAGGAGCCGTCGGTGCATTCTTAGTCCTCACCATACTCGGTGTTTGATACGTTCGATGGAAAGAGTGAATTAAGCTCCATTTGCTCTTTTGCCCGTTGAAGCAATTTAGAAAACACTTGGTGTGCAGAAAAAATTG